TAACGCCAACAGAGGCTCGTGGCATTGTTGAGTCCTGTGACGACTGCCATGCACTTGCTCCGCCTTTACCAGCAGGGGTAAACCCTAGAGGCCTTAGGGCCTTGGAGCTTTGGCAGACTGATGTCACCCAGATTGCCGAGTTTGGCCGGCTCAAGTATGTGCATGTCACGGTGGACACGTTCTCCTCTGCGATGTGGGCTTCCGCTCACACTGGAGAAAAGGCTCGTGATGTCATTGCCCACTGGAGGCAGGCCTTTGCCGTTCTGGGCATACCTTCTGCTGTGAAAACTGACAATGATCCTGCTTATGCATCGCAGCAGGTGCGGCAGTTCCTGCAGTTGTGGGGTGTGTCACACAAGTTTGGTATCCCCCATTCTCCAACCGGCCAAGCTATTGTAGAACGCGCTCATGGTACTCTGAAGCGGGTTCTTCAAAAACAAAAACGGGGAATGCAGGGTGAGACCCCACACAGTCGGTTGGAGAAAGCATTGTACACCATCAATCATCTTACAGTGCAGCAGAATTCAAATAACCCTGTCATTTTAAATCATCATCTCTCATTGCAGGCTGCAGACGAGGCACATCAGCCTCGAGCAAAAGTTCGAGTGCGGAATTTAGTCACTAAACAATGGGAAGGTCCCTATGACCTTATCGCTTCGGGGCGCGGGTATGCTTGTGTATCCACAGATACTGGGGTACACTGGGTACCTTCAAGGTGTGTTCGTCCTGATCTGCAACCGCAGAGACAGAATCCGACAAACGGGCAACATAGAAGCCGTGACCAAACTGAAAGTCATCAAATGGATGGATCATCGAGTGATGACTCAGTTGAAGATGACGGTGGGTGATCACTCTGATGATTCCTCCATGAACAGACACTGAACCTTATTCATTTTTCCTTTTCTTTTAAACTAAAAAGGGTGAGATGTCGCCCTGATTCTTGAGTTTTCTAAAGCCTTCTGAGTTTACATTCTATTGGGAAACTTTCCCACACAGTTTCTGTAAATAACGTGTTGTTTTGCATTCCTCCATGGGGGTGGAGAGACTTGATGTACTAGTGCTTTGTCCAATGTCTTCGGAGAGGTGGCCCATTCACTCTCCAATCCACTGTCACCTTTGGAGAAGTAGAAAAGTTGGAGTCAGAAAATAAACGCGCTCTTTTTTGCCTTGCAAGGTGGCAGGTGGCTCGCGTTGTGCTTTCTCGTGTCCTATAGCGACACACACCTGTGCGGCTAGAGCAGATCTGAAAGATGTCCCCCTAGAACAGCCAGACTGGGAGTTGTTCACAGATGGAAGCGGTTTCATGGAGAACGGAATCAGACACGCTGGATACGTGGTAACAACAATCAGTACAGTGGTAGAGGCAAAAGCATTGCCACCAAATACATCCGCCCAGAAGGCAGAACTGGTTGCTTTAACCAGAGCACTAGAATTAAGTGAAGGGAAAAAGGTAAACATATGGACTGATTCAAAATATGCATTTGGAGTAGTGCATGTGCATGGGGCCCTATGGAAAGAACGAGGTCTGTTTTCATCTCAAGGGATGCACATTAAACATCAAGATGCAGTTCTGCAGCTGATAAGAGCAGTACAAAAACCTGAATAAGTGGCAATTATGCACTGTAAAGCACATCAATCAGGAAACTCCAAAATTTGTGAGGGAAATCAAAAGGCAGATGGGACGGCTCGACAGGCTGCTCGAAAGGTGCACACAACAATGGCACTGGTCCCTTTAAAACTTAATGTATCTCAATTCACCTCCACAGCCAAAATATTCAGCAGAAGATGAGATACTGGGACATTTACTGAATGCACAGAAGAATCCAGAAGGGTGGTATGTAAATGCACAAGGACAGATAGTGGTACCCCCCTTGGTAATGAGAGAGGTTCTACAAATTAAACATAACGAATGTCATTGGGGTGCAGAGGCATTGGTAAAATTTCTAAAACATTATTTGGTCTCAGTACAAATGTTAACAATGGCAAAATCAATAATGTCAAAGTGTGAGATTTGCTTGAAAAACAACCCAGTGGCTAGACGACAGGCACAACTAGGAAGGGTTTGGGTAGGGATAGAACCAGGACATTATTGGCAGGTAGATTTTGTAGAATTACCAAGAACTCGAGGATACAAATATTTATTAGTAGGGGTTGATACATTTTCCGGATGGCCAGAAGTCCTTCCCTGTCGCACGAACCAAGCAAAAGAAACAGTTAAGTGGTTACTACAAGAAATCATTCCCAGATTCGGGGTGCCTCTAGAGATATCATCAGATAGGGGACCCCATTTCATAGCCACGGTGGTAAAAGAAGTAAGTAGGTTGCTGGGAATAACTTGGGACCTCCACACACCATAGAGACCCCAGTCAAGTGGACAGGTGGAGAGGATGAATCAAACACTAAAGAGGCAGATCAGTAAAATATGTCAAGAAGCTAAACTGCAGTGGCCACAGGCTTTACCAATAGCATTACTGAGAATCCGGATAAAGCCTAGGAGTGGGATGTCAGTAAGTCCTTATGAGATATTGTATGGGAAACCATATGAATCTCCTGGACCCAATCCAAATATACATGTCACGGGAAAACAGGAAGTATATAACTATGTTCTGTCTCTTGGGAAAACTTTAGCACGACTTAGGAGTGCCCTTGTGTGGAATAGGCCGCTGACTCTCGAGAATCCTGTTCATGACATACATCCAGGAGTCGAGGTGTACATTAAGAATTGGAATGAAGAACCACTGAAAGAAAAGTGGACTGGACCCATCAGGTACTAGTGACCACCTTCACAGCAGTCAAGGTAGCTGGAGTGGACTCCTGGATACACTACACTCCAGTGAAGAAAGCCCATCCCAGACTGTGGACTGTGTAAACTGTGGGACCAACAAAGCTGCAGATAAGATGTGTTTAATTATTTCAGGAATGTTACCAACAATTGTACCAATTCTCCTTTCATGGTCTTTGGGATGTGGAATGCAAAAAGATCAATTAACTGCTCTTCATTCTAGAATGAAGAGAGAGGTCCAGGTAGAAACACTGGTGATAAAGGTTTCCAATGCAATTCGGGCTGAGAATGTAATGATTGGATTAGTTAAAGATTTTGCCAAAATGCAGAACACTAGCAGAATAACTGCCTGTCTGCCAATACCTAAGGCAGCAGAAGACCCAATAAATTGAGGAATCATAATGATGAAACTGCCTGAAATACAAAAGAACAAAACAATTATATGCAAACAGGTACCAGAATCAAGACAGGTAATCAAGGTAACCTGGAAAGTAATAGGACAATGGTTACATCCTTTGAGTCAAAGAGACTGTCTCCAAAATAATGGCACGATAGGGTATCCAATAGAATGGGCAGGGGGCATTCCAAATCAATGGCAATGCTACTTACCACTTTATAAAAAGATTACAGAAAATGTTACAGAAACCACTCTGGTGTGGAAGTGCGAGGCAAAAGATCACTAAGGTCAAACAGAGCCTTGGGACAGTGCGTGGTCTCTAAGTATACTTCAAAAATTCCAGTACATGGCTGCCACTCCTTGGTGCATTACATGGGAAGGTTCAGAAAATGAAACAGATCCAGCAGTAGTGAACACTGACACTAGTAGTAGAACAAAGGCAGACAAAGTAAGTTAGTGGGCATGTAATAAAACTTATGATTGCACCTCTGATGACATAGAAATAAAACAAATTCCACCACTGGCAGTAGCCTTACAAATTGGTTGTGCCTGCAGAGGTATCAAACACAAACAGGGTAAAGTGGATTATAAAATACTTGTAGGATGTACCAAGAGTACACTCCGAAGTCCAGGACAATTCCTATGGGCAACAAGTGATGGTACCTGGACAACCCATCTACCTCTAGATGGGAAAGTAAAAGAAATTACTTTAGGCCTCCCTACTTTGTGTCCAATTTGGAAAAAGTTCCCATTTAAGGGAAAGGATGAACTTCTGCAGATAAGAACAAGACAAGAAGTTCCAAATAATGAAAATCAAGATGAAACCTGGCAAGAACCCTCTAGTGGAGTGAAATTTGGGTGGGCCTTAGAGTCTTTGCTTGGTCCTATAGCAAACTGTCAGAATAAAGAAATGTTGTACAAACTTACAGGTCAGGTAGATAGACTGGCTAGGGTCACTAGGGAAGGATTTAAAGAACTAAACGTACAATTACAAGCCACCACAAAAATGACCATACAAAATCGATTTGCCTTAGATTTGTTACTCCTGAAAGAGCATGGAGTGTGTGGACTTTTAAAGGGACAGATTGATCATTGCTGCATCCACATCCCAAACGTAACTGCAGATGTAGAATATGACATCAATCAGTTAAAACAAATAAAGCATGAAGTACAAGAAGAGCAGAAAGATTTGACTGTGAGCTGGTTAGACAAAGTCTTTAAAGGGTTAGGGTGGAATGTGAGTTCATGGATTAAGTCTATCATTGAAAGTGTAATAATCCTATTAATTGTGTTCTTAGTAATTTTAGTTAGTCTAAGTTAAATTTAGGTTAGTCTACAGTGTCCTAAAAGAAGAAATACAGAAGAGGACATCCTGGAACCGGAAAATAATCAAGGCACTGACACGGGACCCACACCCATCATCCTCTGATCCTCCAGTCCATGACAACGTTCACGTCAATCCTGGATTTGAAGAACATCATGTATAAACTTAGAAACTAAAGACTGTATCAAGTGAAAGTATTTGCACTTATGATGAAGTAAAAATACTTTCAAAGGGGGGAAAATTATAGTAAAAGGATTTTTAAATCATGAGATTTAAGGTTAACAGAAAAAAATAAACTTAGTAGGCCTTGGAAAGGTAAATACCTTTAGCACAGGGAGAAATAGTACTATGTAGCTAGTACATGATAATTGATATAGTTGTTAGATGTGACGACTGTTTAGTAATTAAATATAATTACTGTTTAATCAGAAAGAATAATCATGTGAAACTGGTCATGGACCTAAGAAAGATCACTATAAACTCATGTCAATGTATACAATAGAACAATGTAAGTTTAATAATTATACAATGATAGGGTATAAAATACGTTCAGTTCGAAACTTATGTTCGGAGTCAGATCTGAGTTTGTACTCCGACTCCCAGAGCTCTCAATAAAAGCACCTGCATGTAATCATATCCCGAGATTATGTGTTTCTGAACGCTAACAAACTGGTGAGTCATCAGCGCCGCGGGCTCTGACTGGCTGAGCTCTGCCTGAGGGCTGCGGCTGCAGCAAAGAGGGGACACCCTGCTCCAGGGGGGATGTCCCACAAACGGGGGACCCCCATGAAAGGAACAAGAGCAAAGTGTCTTTACAAACAGATGCTCTGAATCTGCTCGGAGATAGGGCCGGGAACCTCTATGTAAGGAAGTGACAGGAGAAGCCATCGGTTTCAGAAAATGTTATTAATTGATGACACAGACTGCTGCTCAGCCAAGGTCCTGCTCAATTCATGAACTTCCAGAAGAACAACAAAGACTTAACAGAGCCATGAATATCGTTTGCTATATAAAAATGGGGAGCATATTAAGGGGGTATGTAGTAGATGTACTGGGAAGTCCGCAGCTCTCAAGTACTTCAGCTAATGGGGAAAGGGAGACAGAGATGTAGCCAGGAGAATTAGGGTGAAAAGGAGGCTCTGTCCTTCAACAATTGGAGAGATCCCATGGGGAATGTGACATATCCTGCCTCATTTCTAGGAATGAAATTACTTTATAGGACTCCTCTGTCTGCTTTGTGGACAGAATCCTCTGGTGATGTCAGTTTTTCCGCACACCCGGGGGCTCATCCCGAATTCCTTCCACCTTCCGGGAGCGGGCAGAGAGTGCAGCGGAAGGTGCCTCACCCACTTTGGGTGATCGGCTCCCTTGGCTGGCGGCGGCACCGGGGATTGATTGGGGACCCGGGAGTGACCAGGAGACAGACGAGTGACACATCAGGGCGGTCTGTGAAGAGTCAGCAGGGAGAGAGCACTGAAAATCTCATCAGTGAGTGCCTTGGGATCTTCAGGGAGTGAACATGGCAGGGCACCCATGGAGGGGAGAAAAGGGAAAGCCAGGGAGGGGTCCTGGCCAAAGGGATGATGATCCCAAAATGTCTCTGAAAGGTTCCCTTGGGAGAATGGTGAGGTAGTTTGCACATTCCCCCAGAGGTAATTAAGGACATGAACACCCAGGGGGGCAATAAGGAAAGTGAAGATGGGATTTGGACAACAGGGGATGGATGGTGTTGGTGTGCTGGGAAGGGATCAGGTGAAGGGGAGTGTGCAACAATATGGTTCAGGCAAGAAGCAGCAGGAGGAATCTATGTGGTAAGAAAAAGGATGACGGCAAAGAGGAGGAAAAGAAAAATACTCACAATTGCTTTATTTTTATTTTCCAGCACTGTTTTATCCTCACAATTTGCCAGCTGATCCAGATCCTTTCCATGCCCGGTTTCCAGGAGAGGAAAAGCAGGAGGTCAGGATGTCAGGGGTTTCTCTGTGGTGGGCAGCGGCAGCAGCGGGCGCAGAGGTGCGGGACCGGGAGCAGGGCTGGGGGCCTGTGGGGAGCTGCGGGGCCGGGCCGGGGCTGTGGGGCAGCCGGGGCTCAGCGCCGGGCGCTGCCTGAGCCCACCAGCCCCGGGCAGGGCCGGCAGTGGCCCCCGGCCCCCAGGAGGCTGCGGGACGCCCCGGCCGCTGCCCGGCCCCGGGGAGCTGCCGGCCCTGCCCGCCGGGGGGGCCGCCTTTGGACACTGCGGCAGGACAGGCACCGGCTCTGCCACACGGGCTGTGCAGGGGACCCTGAGCACAAGGAGCAAAACAAAGGAACATCTGGAAACGCAGATTTTCATGGTTGGACACGGAAGTGAATTTTCTCAGGTAGCCGGTCTCAAAGCAATCAGTGGTCAGGTTTGGATATTGGCACCTGGAGTGGCCACTGAAGGCATGGGCACGCCTCTGAGAACACAGGGTTAAAAGCAAGAACTCCCAGCAGAACTGTCTCTTTGGAGAGTGCAGACTCTGCCCCGCCACCACGGGCTGGGTGGGGGAATGGAAGGCCTGCGGCCTGGGAGGGGTAGGCCAGGGGGAGGAAACCTGAGATGTCTTTGTTCCCCAAGCCCCCACACCACCAGAGGGAAACAGACAGAGAGGCTGAAGGCACCTGGAAATTCACTGGCAAAGGAGAAGGAGGAGGTGGGGGGAAGGTGCCCAGCCCTGGGAGTTGGAATCTGGGCTGAGATTTCAGCAGCCAGGGAAGTCCAAGACTTTTAACCCTTTCCTGGGAAACGAAAGCTTTGTGAAATATTACTCCTCCTCGACTTGAAAGAGAAGAGACACTCTGGGACTGTCACAGAATTATAAGATCAAAGAATCAAACAGATCACAGAATCATTTGGGTTGAAGGGTACCATAAAGATGATCCCGTTCCACAGCATGCAGTGGACAGGGACACTTTCCCATAACCCCAGTCGCTCCAAGCCCTGTCCAGCCTGGCCTGGAACACTTCCAGGGACCCAGGGGCAGTTAACAGCTTCTCTGGCATACCTGTGCCAGGGATTCACCAGCCTCACAAGGGAACATTTCTTTTCTTTATCCCCTCCAATCCTGCCCTCTTGCAGTGGGAAGCCATTGCCCCTTGTCCTGGCACTCCAGGCCCTTGGAAATACTCTTTCTCCGTCTTTCTTGTTGGAGGGAGAAACCATCAGTTCCAATAAATGTTACAAATTGACCCAGACAGCTGCTCAAAGTCCCGCTACATTCCCGAACTTTGAGGAGAACAAAGACTTAACAGAGCCATGAATATCGGCTGGTATACAAAAGGAGGGTGCATATTAACGAGGACAGGCAGCAGGCGCATCGGGAAGTCTGAACCTTCCAAGAACCTCAGCCCGTGGGCAAAGGCAGGGGGAGATGCGGCCGGGAAAATGAGGATAAAAAGGAGGCTGCGGACTACAACCACGGCAGAGAGCGCACGGCAAATGCCCCACGGCCTCTCCCCCTGCTCGGCAATAAGGTCACTTTTACAGGACTCCTCGCTCTCCTCCGGCCACAGAAACCTCCGGCGACGGGAATTTCCCCGCACGCTCCCGGCCGCGGGGCAGCCCCCTCGGTCCTACCCACAGCAGCCGGGCCGAGCCAGCGCTGCTCCGGCAGCGGCTCCTGCCCAGGCCCCGGCGGGAAGGAGACCGCGGGCAGCCGCTCCCGCCGCGCCCTCAGCCCGGGGCCGGCACGGCCCGGACACGGCACCACCGACCCGCCGCAGCCCCCTGCCGCCCCCTCCGCCCGCAGCCAGCCCCGAGCCCCCGCAGAACCCAGCGCGGCTCCCACCTGCGCCGGGGCCGCCTCCGAGCTCCGCCGACGCCGCCTCACCGCGCTCCGGCCGCTGCCGCCGCTCCCGGGCCCGCACAGACCCTCCTGGCGCCAATGGCGCCGCTGCCCGCCCACGGCCGCCCTCAGCCCGCCGCCGGGGCCGTGCTGCGTCCCGCTCCCACCAATCAGCGCGCCGCAACCGCGACTGACGGCACCAGCGGCCAATGGCAGCGAGCTGGGGGCGGGCTCTGCGCACGGCCCAGACTCGCCCCGCGCTCTCAGGGCCCCCCGCGCTGCGTGAGGGCAAAGCCGGAGATGAGCAACAGCCCCGGGACGGGCCCGGGCCCGAGGCGGGATTGAGCTGCCCACACAAACAAACTTCTCCGCACCTCCCGCCACGGCTTTCCCGGCCCTGCGCCTTCCGTGCCTCCGGCTCTGCGGGAAGCCCGGGAGCCTCCCTTCTCCTGCCCCTCATTAGTGCATCGGTGCTTCGCTTGGATTTCCCCCAAAAAGGGAAACCTGCCCAAAGCCCTGTGGGGGAGCGGGGGAGGGGAGAGATTTCTGGCAGAAAACTCCAAAGACTCAGAGCAGGATAAGGAGAAGTCAGTGCAGAGCCTTAAATGCAGCTTTCCCCACGCCTCCCTGCTCCCAGCTGCACCTCCTCCCCCGGCAGGGCAGGAGACAGGGAATGGGGCCGTGCTCAGCTCATCCCCCGCGGCTTCTCCCTCTGCTCAGGGACAGGAGTCGTTCCCTGCTGCACCCTGCGCTCTCTCCCAGCCGAGACTTCTCCAGGAACTTCTCCGAGCCGAGTCCATCCCCTGGGCCACAGCCCCCTCCAAGTGCTGCAGCGTGGGTCACTGTGCCACGGGCTCGGTCCTGCCAGGCCAGGCTGCTCCAGCGGGGCCCCTCTGCCCGCGGGGTCACAGCCTCCTCTCAGGCATCGCCGAGCTCCAGCCTGGCTCCTGCAGGGGCTGCAGGGGCATCTCTGCATCCCCACGGAGCTGCAGGGGGATCTCTGCATCCCCACGGACCTGCAGGGGGATCTCTGCATCCCCACGGACCTGCAGGGGGATCTCTGCATCCCCATTGTAATATATGTTATGGAATAATTCGTGCTTATATGAAATATACATGAAATCCATTGTGCTTGTAGAAAAAGATTCTTAAAGTTTTAAAAGACAAGGAGCCGCAGCCGGAAAAGATTGGAAATCACAGCTGGCAGAGAAAGAAAGACCTAATTTACAATTGAAAAAACGTGGCTCCCTGCAGAGATGGGCTTTTTCCGGGGACACTGCAGGAGAATCCCAACATGAAAAATGCATACATGTTCGTTTGATTAGTAGTGCTGTATTAACATTTTAATAGTATCATAAATGTAGTTTTGTAGTTAAAATGAAGCTTTAGTAGTTAAAATAGAAACTATGTATATGGGTTTTCTTTTAAGGCATGAGATACTCGCTTTGACATAACCATCACAAAACACCTAAATCTTCCAGAGAACAGGAATTTATGGTTTTCTTATCAGAAGAAGCTAATTTCTTCAGGTCTTGTTCAGACTCCAAGACGCCATGGGCATTAAAGGAAACTGTTCACATATAACAGACAGTGGTTTTTTGTTTTAAATAGTATGTATGCATAACCATGAAGGATATATGAATATGCAATAGTGTAGTTTTAAGGGTGATTCCTTAGTTCACAAGGTATGCTTAGTTCACAAGGTTGTGTCTTAAGTGCCCAAGAGCATCCTGACATCCGTAATTCTTTGCTTTTTATTGCCTTGTAATTGTCCTAACTCTAAATTTTCATGACTCTAATTATATTACTATTTTAATAACCATGTTATTATTATTAAAATTTTAAAAGCCAAGTGATTGGCGTTTTTCACAATTATGGAAGCAAAGGATGGTTTCTAACACCTCTCTGCCGGGGCCTTGGGAGAGTCAGGGTGAGGAAGACGGGTCCTGCCCTATTTAGGCAGCCTCGCTCTGTTCCCCTGGTGTGTGACCACAGACACAGGTTATGATCCATGGGCAAAAGGAGACAATAAAACAAAGAAAATGGAAAGGATTCCCTAAAACCGCGCTAATTAGCCCCAAGACTAAAGTGTACACGAAGAACCAAGACCCAAGGACAAAGGATAGGTGAGTATTTGTTGGGATGGGGCGGATAAGGGGGGAATGAATGTGTGTGGCAGAAGCTGCTGGGTATCCCAGACTTGCCAAGTGATTGCTGTAGTCCCTCATGCTGCTTTTCGTCTTTTTCGTGTGAAAAACGGCCAGTAAAGTGACAAAGGGAGTGATAAAAAAGAGAGAATCCCCCCCGAGAGAAACTGGGACTGGGTCTTAGGAAGAAGAGGAACCCCCGTGGAGTGCCGGATGAAGGGATAAGAGTGCCCAAGAGCATCCAGGATTCAAACCTGCTGGGCTGAGGGATTTGCATCCCAAGAGCACCCAGGGTTGCTGGATTGAGGATATGCCCAAGGGGATCTGGGTTTGGAAAACAAAGCTGGATTGAGGGATATCCAAGAACACCGGGACTGGCCAGTAACACCTAAAATTCTGCTGGGATGAGAGACATCCGGGATTAAACCTGCTGGGTTGATGGATTAACATTCCAAGAGCACTCAGGGTGTAGATATGTAATTTAGACTGTTTGAAAGTAAAAGGTACCTTGTTGTTGTATGTGAGAGTGAGTGAAAAATAAAAGTTAGTAAATGTAGATGAATGGAAGTATATGTAATGTAGATTGTTTATTTGGAGCTTTATCTCCTTGGAGGGAGGTGGATTGTGTTGAATGGTATTGTGTGAGAAAAGAATTTTTGTGTAGTTGAAAGAAGGTGGTATTCAGATTGTTAGAGAAAATGGGAAAGAGGCAGAGGACCATTAGAAAAGATCTTGGGAAAAGAAAAAAAATGGGACAGAAATCGAGTAAGGAGAATGTATGAAAGAAAAAAAGGAGTAAAAAATTACCAATGGAAATACCCCGAGATAGCCCTCTAGGAGTTATGTTTGTAAACTGGGAAAAAAAACCCTTGTACGAGAAAAAAGGACAAGGTAAAGATGATACAATTTTGTATGCTCGAATGGCCAACAAAGGAAATAAAATCTGAGTTTATTGGCCTAGATATGGCTTTTTTAAAAGTTGGATTTGTCAGGCTCTTAATGTATTTGTAAATTCGAAGGAACCTTTTAATTCCGAAGAAAGAGAATATGTCACATGTTGGAGAGGAGATTTTAGGAAAATAAAAATCTTTAAAGTTATCAGAAACCTCCGAGAAAAAAACCAAGAAAAGAAAACAGGGAAAGAAAAGGGAGGGGAGCACGAGGGGAAAAGAGAAAAAGGAAAGGAGTGGGATTGTTGACAGACTCTGCCCCTCCGTTCCCGTTCGCGCCCGCACCACTCGCGCCCGAGCCGCTTGTCCCGGGCCCCGCTCGCCGCCCGCTCCGGCCCCGCCTGCCCCGGTGCCGGCGCCTGTCCCGGGCCCCGCTCGCCGCCCGCTCCTGCCCCGCTGCCGTGCCAGGCGCGGGTTCGCTGCTCTCAGCGGCTGCTCCTGCCCCGGTTCCTGGCCCGGCTGTGAGCCCCCTGCCCGCAGCGGCCGCTCTGCCGCTCCCCGCCCCGCCGCCCGCCGCAGCCCTCCCGGGCCCCGCTCCGCCGCCCGCAGCCTCTGGGCCCGGCCCCGTCCCGCTGCTCGCGGCTGCCCGGCCGGCCCCGGCCCCGGCCCGCCCGGCTGCTCCTGCCGGGCTCCCGCCGCTCCGCCCGGCCCGGCCCGGAGCGCTCCTCCCGCGGCTGATTTCTCTGCCCCGGCCCCGGCGGCTTTGCCCGTCCCGGCTGCGCTGGACAGACTCTGCCCCTCCGTTCCGCGAACTGTCAACGACCCCACTCCTTTCCTTTTTCTCTTTTCCCCTCGTGCTCCCCTCCCTTTTCTTTCCCTGTTTTCTTTTCTTGGTTTTTTTCTCGGAGGTTTCTGATAACTTTAAAGATTTTTATTTTCCTAAAATCTCCTCTCCAACATGTGACATATTCTCTTTCTTCGGAATTAAAAGGTTCCTTCGAATTTACAAATACATTAAGAGCCTGACAAATCCAACTTTTAAAAAAGCCATATCTAGGCCAATAAACTCAGATTTTATTTCCTTTGTTGGCCATTCGAGCATACAAAATTGTATCATCTTTACCTTGTCCTTTTTTCTCGTACAAGGGTTTTTTTTCCCAGTTTACAAACATAACTCCTAGAGGGCTATCTCGGGGTATTTCCATTGGTAATTTTTTACTCCTTTTTTTCTTTCATACATTCTCCTTACTCGATTTCTGTCCCATTTTTTTTCTTTTCCCAAGATCTTTTCTAATGGTCCTCTGCCTCTTTCCCATTTTCTCTAACAATCTGAATACCACCTTCTTTCAACTACACAAAAATTCTTTTCTCACACAATACCATTCAACACAATCCACCTCCCTCCAAGGAGATAAAGCTCCAAATAAACAATCTACATTACATATACTTCCATTCATCTACATTTACTAACTTTTATTTTTCACTCACTCTCACATACAACAACAAGGTACCTTTTACTTTCAAACAGTCTAAATTACATATCTACACCCTGAGTGCTCTTGGAATGTTAATCCATCAACCCAGCAGGTTTAATCCCGGATGTCTCTCATCCCAGCAGAATTTTAGGTGTTACTGGCCAGTCCCGGTGTTCTTGGATATCCCTCAATCCAGCTTTGTTTTCCAAACCCAGATCCCCTTGGGCATATCCTCAATCCAGCAACCCTGGGTGCTCTTGGGATGCAAATCCCTCAGCCCAGCAGGTTTGAATCCTGGATGCTCTTGGGCACTCTTATCCCTTCATCCGGCACTCCACGGGGGTTCCTCTTCTTCCTAAGACCCAGTCCCAGTTTCTCTCGGGGGGGATTCTCTCTTTTTTATCACTCCCTTTGTCACTTTACTGGCCGTTTTTCACACGAAAAAGACGAAAAGCAGCATGAGGGACTACAGCAATCACTTGGCAAGTCTGGGATACCCAGCAGCTTCTGCCACACACATTCATTCCCCCCTTATCCGCCCCATCCCAACAAATACTCACCTATCCTTTGTCCTTGGGTCTTGGTTCTTCGTGTACACTTTAGTCTTGGGGCTAATTAGCGCGGTTTTAGGGAATCCTTTCCATTTTCTTTGTTTTATTGTCTCCTTTTGCCCATGGATCATAACCTGTGTCTGTGGTCACACACCAGGGGAACAGAGCGAGGCTGCCTAAATAGGGCAGGACCCGTCTTCCTCACCCTGACTCTCCCAAGGCCCCGGCAGAGAGGTGTTAGAAACCATCCTTTGCTACCATAATTGTGAAAAACGCCAATCACTTGGCTTTTAAAATTTTAATAATAATAACATGGTTATTAAAATAGTAATACAATTAGAGTCATGAAAATTTAGAGTTAGGACAATTACAAGGCAATAAAAAGCAAAGAATTACGGATGTCAGGATGCTCTTGGGCACTTAAGACACAACCATGTGAACTAAGGAATCACCCTTAAAACTACACTATTGCATATTCATATATCCTTCATGGTTATGCATACATACTATTTAAAACAAAAAACCACTGTCTGTTATATGTGAACAGTTTCCTTTAATGCCCATGGCGTCTTGGAGTCTGAACAAGACCTGAAGAAATTAGCTTCTTCTGATAAGAAAACCATAAATTCCTGTTCTCTGGAAGATTTAGGTGTTTTGTGATGGTTATGTCAAAGCGAGTATCTCATGCCTTAAAAGAAAACCCATATACATAGTTTCTATTTTAACTACTAAAGCTTCATTTTAACTACAAAACTACATTTACGATACTATTAAAATGTTAATACAGCACTACTAATCAAACGAACATGTATGCATTTTTCATGTTGGGATTCTCCTGCAGTGTCCCCGGAAAAAGCCCATCTCTGCAGGGAGCCACGTTTTTTCAATTGTAAATTAGGTCTTTCTTTCTCTGCCAGCTGTGATTTCCAATCTTTTCCGGCTGCGGCTCCTTGTCTTTTAAAACTTTAAGAATCTTTTTCTACAAGCACAATGGATTTCATGTATATTTCATATAAGCACGAATTATTCCATAACATATATTACAATGGGGATGCAGAGATGCCCCTGCAGGTCCGTGGGGATGCAGAGATCCCCCTGCAGCCCCTGCAGGAGCCAGGCTGGAGCTCGGCGATGCCTGAGAGGAGCTGTGACCCCGCGGGCAGAGGGGCCCCGCTGGAGCAGCCTGGCCTGGCAGGACCGAGCCCGTGGCACAGTGACCCACGCTGCAGCACTTGGAGGGGGCTGTGGCCCAGGGGATGGACTCGGCTCGGAGAAGTTCCTGGAGAAGTCTCGGCTGGGAGAGAGCGCAGGGTGCAGCAGGGAACGACTCCTGTCCCTGAGCAGAGGGAGAAGCCGCGGGGGATGAGCTGAGCACGGCCCCATTCCCTGTCTCCTGCCCTGCCGGGGGAGGAGGTGCAGCTGGGAGCAGGGAGGCGTGGGGAAAGCTGCATTTAAGGCTCTGCACTGACTTCTCCTTATCCTGCTCTGAGTCTTTGGAGTTTTCTGCCAGAAATCTCTCCCCTCCCCCGCTCCCCCACAGGGCTTTGGGCAGGTTTCCCTTTTTGGGGGAAATCCAAGCGAAGCACCGATGCACTAATGAGGGGCAGGAGAAGGGAGGCTCCCGGGCTTCCCGCAGAGCCGGAGGCACGGAAGGCGCAGGGCCGGGAAAGCCGTGGCGGGAGGTGCGGAGAAGTTTGTTTGTGTGGGCAGCTCAATCCCGCCTCGGGCCCGGGCCCGTCCCGGGGCTGTTGCTCATCTCCGGCTTTGCCCTCACGCAGCGCGGGGGGCCCTGAGAGCGCGGGGCGAGTCTGGGCCGTGCGCAGAGCCCGCCCCCAGCTCGCTGCCATTGGCCGCTGGTGCCGTCAGTCGCGGTTGCGGCGCGCTGATTGGTGGGAGCGGGGCGCAGCACGGCCCCGGCGGCGGGCTGAGGGCGGCCGTGGGCGGGCAGCGGCGCCATTGGCGCCAGGAGGGTCTGTGCGGGCCCGGGAGCGGCGGCAGCGGCCGGAGCGCGGTGAGGCGGCGTCGGCGGAGCTCGGAGGCGGCCCCGGCGCAGGTGGGAGCCGCGCTGGGTTCTGCGGGGGCTCGGGGCTGGCTGCGGGCGGAGGGGGCAGCAGGGGGCTGCGGCGGGTCGGTGGTGCCGTGTCCGGGCCGTGCTGGCCCCGGGCTGAGGGCGCGGCGGGAGCGGCTGCCCGCGGTCTCCTTCCCGCCGGGGCCTGGGCAGGAGCCGCTGCCGGAGCAGCGCTGGCTCGGCCCGGCTGCTGTGGGTAGGACCGAGGGGGCTGCCCCGCGGCCGGGAGCGTGCGGGGAAATTCCCGTCGCCGGAGGTTTCTGTGGCCGGAGGAGAGCGAGGAGTCCTGTAAAAGTGACCTTATTGCCGAGCAGGGGGAGAGGCCGTGGGGCATTTGCCGTGCGCTCTCTGCCGTGGTTGTAGTCCGCAGCCTCCTTTTTATCCTCATTTTCCCGGCCGCATCTCCCCCTGCCTTTGCCCACGGGCTGAGGTTCTTGGAAGGTTCAGACTTCCCGATGCGCCTGCTGCCTGTCCTCGTTAATATGCACCCTCCTTTTGTATACCAGCCGATATTCATGGCTCTGTTAAGTCTTTGTTCTTCTCTTCGAAGTTCAGGAATGTAGCGGGACTTTGAGCAGCTGTCTGGGTCAATTTGTAACATTTATTGGAACTGATGGTTTCTCCCACCAACAAGAAAGTGGACAAAGAGTATTTCCAAGGGCCTGGAGTGCCAGGACAAGGGGGAATGGCTTCCCACTGCAAGAGGGCAGGATTAGAGGGGATAATGGAAAGAAATTGTTCCTTGTGAGGGTGGGGAATCCCTGGCACAGGTTTTCCAGAGAAGCTTTGACTGCCCCTGGATCTCTGGAAGTGTTCCAGGCCAGGCTGGACAGGGCTTGGAGCAACCGGGGTTATGGGAAAGTGTCCCTGTCCACGGCATGCGGTGGAACGGGATCATCTTTATGGTACCCTTCAACCCAAATGATTCTGTGATCTGTTTGATTCTTTGATCTTATAATTCTGTGACAGTCCCAGAGTGTCTCTTCTCTTTCAAGTCGAGGAGGAGTAATATTTCACAAAGCTTTCGTTTCCCAGGAAAGGGTTAAAAGTCTTGGACTTCCCTGGCTGCTGAAATCTCAGCCCAGATTCCAACTCCCAGGGCTGGGCACCTTCCCCCCACCTCCTCCTTCTCCTTTGCCAGTGAATTTCCAGGTGCCTTCAGCCTCTCTGTCTGTTTCCCTCTGGTGGTGTGGGGGCTTGGGGAACAAAGACATCTCAGGTTTCCTCCCCCTGGCCTATCCCTCCCAGGCCGCAGGGCTTCCATTCCCCCACCCAGCCCGTGGTGGCGGGGCAGAGTCTGCACTCTCCAAAGAGACAGTTCTGCTGGGAGTTCTTGCTTTTAACCCTGTGTTCTCAGAGGCGTGCCCATGCCTTCAGTGGCCACTCCAGGTGCCAATATCCAAACCTGACCACTGATTGCTTTGAGACCGGCTACCTGAGAAAATTCACTTCCGTGTCCAACCATGAAAATCTGCGTTTCCAGATGTTCCTTTGTTTTGCTCCTTGTGCTCAGGGTCCCCTGCACAGCCCGTGTGGCAGAGCCGGTGCCTGTCCTGCCGCAGTGTCCAAAGGCGGCCCCCCCGGCGGGCAGGGCCGGCAGCTCCCCGGGGCCGGGCAGCGGCCGGGGCGTCCCGCAGCCTCCTGGGGGCCGGGGGCCACTGCCGGCCCTGCCCGGGGCTGGTGGGCTCAGGCAGCGCCCGGCGCTGAGCCCCGGCTGCCCCACAGCCCCGGCCCGGCCCCGCAGCTCCCCACAGGCCCCCAGCCCTGCTCCCGGTCCCGCACCTCTGCGCCCGCTGCTGCCGCTGCCCACCACAGAGAAACCCCTGACATCCTGACCTCCTGCTTTTCCTCTCCTGGAAACCGGGCATGGAAAGGATCTGGATCAGCTGGCAAATTGTGAGGATAAAACAGTGCTGGAAAATAAAAATAAAGCAATTGTGAGTATTTTTCTTTTCCTCCTCTTTGCCGTCATCCTTTTTCTTACCACATAGATTCCTCCTGCTGCTTCTTGCCTGAACCATATTGTTGCACACTCCCCTTCACCTGATCCCTTCCCAGCACACCAACACCATCCATCCCCTGTTGTCCAAATCCCATCTTCACTTTCCTTATTGCCCCCCTGGGTGTTCATGTCCTTAATTACCTCTGGGGGAATGTGCAAACTACCTCACCATTCTCCCAAGGGAACCTTTCAGAGACATTTTGGGATCATCATCCCTTTGGCCAGGACCCCTCCCTGGCTTTCCCTTTTCTCCCCTCCATGGGTGCCCTGCCATGTTCACTCCCTGAAGATCCCAAGGCACTCACTGATGAGATTTTCAGTGCTCTCTCCCTGCTGACTCTTCACAGACCGCCCTGATGTGTCACTCGTCTGTCTCCTGGTCACTCCCGGGTCCCCAATCAATCCCCGGTGCCGCCGCCAGCCAAGGGAGCCGATCACCCAAAGTGGGTGAGGCACCTTCCGCTGCACTCTCTGCCCGCTCCCGGAAGGTGGAAGGAATTCGGGATGAGCCCCCGGGTGTGCGGAAAAACTGACATCACCAGAGGATTCTGTCCACAAAGCAGACAGAGGAGTCCTATAAAGTAATTTCATTCCTAGAAATGAGGCAGGATATGTCACATTCCCCATGGGATCTCTCCAATTGTTGAAGGACAGAGCCTCCTTTTCACCCTAATTCTCCTGGCTACATCTCTGTCTCCCTTTCCCCATTAGCTGAAGTACTTGAGAGCTGCGGACTTCCCAGTACATCTACTACATACCCCCTTAATATGCTCCCCATTTTTATATAGCAAACGATATTCATGGCTCTGTTAAGTCTTTGTTGTTCTTCTGGAAGTTCATGAATTGAGCAGGACCTTGGCTGAGCAGCAGTCTGTGTCATCAATTAATAACATTTTCTGAAACCGATGGCTTCTCCTGTCACTTCCTTATGTACAGGTTCCCGGCCCTATCTCCAGGAAGATTCAGAGCATCTGTTTGTAAAGACACTTTGCTCTTGTTCCTTTCATGGGGGTCCCCCGTTTGTGGGACATCCCCCCTGGAGCAGGGTGTCCCCTCTTTGCTGCAGCCGCAGCCCTCAGGCAGAGCTCAGCCAGTCAGAGCCCGCGGCGCTGATGACTCACCAGTTTGTTAGCGTTCAGAAACACATAATCTCGGGATATGATTACATGCAGGTGCTTTTATTGAGAGCTCTGGGAGTCGGAGTACAAACTCAGATCTGACTCCGAACATAAGTTTCGAACTGAACGTATTTTATACCCTATCATTGTATAATTATTAAACTTACATTGTTCTATTGTATACATTGACATGAGTTTATAGTGATCTTTCTTAGGTCCATGACCAGTTTCACATGATTATTCTTTCTGATTAAACAGTAATTATATTTAATTACTAAACAGTCGTCACATCTAACAACTATATCAATTATCATGTACTAGCTACATAGTACTATTTCTCCCTGTGCTAAAGGTATTTACCTTTCCAAGGCCTACTAAGTTTATTTTTTTCTGTTAACCTTAAATCTCATGATTTAAAAATCCTTTTACTATAATTTTCCCCCCTTTGAAAGTATTTTTACTTCATCATAAGTGCAAATACTTTCACTTGATACAGTCTTTAGTTTCTAAGTTTATACATGATGTTCTTCAAATCCAGGATTGACGTGAACGTTGTCATGGACTGGAGGATCAGAGGATGATGGGTGTGGGTCCCGTGTCAGTGCCTTGATTATTTTCCGGTTCCAGGATGTCCTCTTCTGTATTTCTTCTTTTAGGACACTGTAGACTAACCTAAATTTAACTTAGACTAACTAAAATTACTAAGAACACAATTAATAGGATTATTACACTTTCAATGATAGACTTAATCCATGAACTCACATTCCACCCTAACCCTTTAAAGACTTTGTCTAACCAGCTCACAGTCAAATCTTTCTGCTCTTCTTGTACTTCATGCTTTATTTGTTTTAACTGATTGATGTCATATTCTACATCTGCAGTTACGTTTGGGATGTGGATGCAGCAATGATCAATCTGTCCCTTTAAAAGTCCACACACTCCATGCTCTTTCAGGAGTAACAAATCTAAGGCAAATCGATTTTGTATGGTCATTTTTGTGGTGGCTTGTAATTGTACGTTTAGTTCTTTAAATCCTTCCCTAGTGACCCTAGCCAGTCTATCTACCTGACCTGTAAGTTTGTACAACATTTCTTTATTCTGACAGTTTGATATAGAACCAAGCAAAGACTCTAAGGCCTACCCAAATTTCACTCCACTAGAGGGTTCTTGCCAGGTTTCATCTTGATTTTCATTATTTGGAACTTCTTGTCTTGTTCTTATCTGCAGAAGTTCATCTTTTCCCTTAAATGGGAACTTTTTCCAAATTGGACACAAAGTAGGGAGGCCTAAAGTAATTTCTTTTACTTTCCCATCTACAGGTAGATGGGTTGTCCAGGTACCATCACTTGTTGCCCATAGGAATTGTCCTGGACTTCGGAGTGTACTCTTGGTACATCCTACAAGTATTTTATAATCCACTTTACCCTGTTTGTGTTTGATACCTCTGCAGGCACAACCAATTTGTAAGGCTACTGCCAGTGGTGGAATTTGTTTTATTTCTATGTCATCAGAGGTGCAATCATAAGTTTTATTACATGCCCACTAACTTACTTTGTCTGCCTTTGTTCTACTACTAGTGTCAGTGTTCACTACTGCTGGATCTGTTTCATTTTCTGAACCTTCCCATGTAATGCACCAAGGAGTGGCAGCCATGTACTGGAATTTTTGAAGTATACTTAGAGACCACGCACTGTCCCAAGGCTCTGTTTGACCTTAGTGATCTTTTGCCTCGCACTTCCACACCAGAGTGGTTTCTGTAACATTTTCTGTAATCTTTTTATAAAGTGGTAAGTAGCATTGCCATTGATTTGGAATGCCCCCTGCCCATTCTATTGGATACCCTATCGTGCCATTATTTTGGAGACAGTCTCTTTGACTCAAAGGATGTAACCATTGTCCTATTACTTTCCAGGTTACCTTGATTACCTGTCTTGATTCTGGTACCTGTTTGCATATAATTGTTTTGTTCTTTTGTATTTCAGGCAGTTTCGTCATTATGATTCCTCAATTTATTGGGTCTTCTGCTGCCTTAGGTATTGGCAGACAGGCAGTTATTCTGCTAGTGTTCTGCATTTTGGCAAAATCTTTAACTAATCCAATCATTACATTCTCAGCCCGAATTGCATTGGAAACCTTTATCACCAGTGTTTCTACCTGGACCTCTCTCTTCATTCTAGAATGAAGAGCAGTTAATTGATCTTTTTGCATTCCACATCCCAAAGACCATGAAAGGAGAATTGGTACAATTGTTGGTAACATTCCTGAAATAATTAAACACATCTTATCTGCAGCTTTGTTGGTCCCACAGTTTACACAGTCCACAGTCTGGGATGGGCTTTCTTCACTGGAGTGTAGTGTATCCAGGAGTCCACTCCAGCTACCTTGACTGCTGTGAAGGTGGTCACTAGTACCTGATGGGTCCAGTCCACTTTTCTTTCAGTGGTTCTTCATTCCAATTCTTAATGTACACCTCGACTCCTGGATGTATGTCATGAACAGGATTCTCGAGAGTCAGCGGCCTATTCCACACAAGGGCACTCCTAAGTCGTGCTAAAGTTTTCCCAAGAGACAGAACATAGTTATATACTTCCTGTTTTCCCGTGACATGTATATTTGGATTGGGTCCAGGAGATTCATATGGTTTCCCATACAATATCTCATAAGGACTTACTGACATCCCACTCCTAGGCTTTATCCGGATTCTCAGTAATGCTATTGGTAAAGCCTGTGGCCACTGCAGTTTAGCTTCTTGACATATTTTACTGATCTGCCTCTTTAGTGTTTGATTCATCCTCTCCACCTGTCCACTTGACTGGGGTCTCTATGGTGTGTGGAGGTCCCAAGTTATTCCCAGCAACCTACTTACTTCTTTTACCACCGTGGCTATGAAATGGGGTCCCCTATCTGATGATATCTCTAGAGGCACCCCGAATCTGGGAATGATTTCTTGTAGTAACCACTTAACTGTTTCTTTTGCTTGGTTCGTGCGACAGGGAAGGACTTCTGGCCATCTGGAAAATGTATCAACCCCTACTAATAAATATTTGTATCCTCGAGTTCTTGGTAATTCTACAAAATCTACCTGCCAATAATGTCCTGGTTCTATCCCTACCCAAACCCTTCCTAGTTGTGCCTGTCGTCTAGCCACTGGGTTGTTTTTCAAGCAAATCTCACACTTTGACATTATTGATTTTGCCATTGTTAACATTTGTACTGAGACCAAATAATGTTTTAGAAATTTTACCAATGCCTCTGCACCCCAATGACATTCGTTATGTTTAATTTGTAGAACCTCTCTCATTACCAAGGGGGGTACCACTATCTGTCCTTGTGCATTTACATACCACCCTTCTGGATTCTTCTGTGCATTCAGTAAATGTCCCAGTATCTCATCTTCTGCTGAATATTTTGGCTGTGGAGGTAAATTGAATTGAGATACATTAAGTTTTAAAGGGACCAGTGCCATTGTTGTGTGCACCTTTCGAGCAGCCTGTCGAGCCGTCCCATCTGCCTTTTGATTTCCCTCACAAATTTTGGAGTTTCCTGATTGATGTGCTTTACAGTGCATAATTGCCACTTATTCAGGTTTTTGTACTGCTCTTATCAGCTGCAGAACTGCATCTTGATGTTTAATGTGCATCCCTTGAGATGAAAACAGACCTCGTTCTTTCCATAGGGCCCCATGCACATGCACTACTCCAAATGCATATTTTGAATCAGTCCATATGTTTACCTTTTTCCCTTCACTTAATTCTAGTGCTCTGGTTAAAGCAACCAGTTCTGCCTTCTGGGCGGATGTATTTGGTGGCAATGCTTTTGCCTCTACCACTGTACTGATTGTTGTTACCACGTATCCAGCGTGTCTGATTCCGTTCTCCATGAAACCGCTTCCATCTGTGAACAACTCCCAGTCTGGCTGTTCTAGGGGGACATCTTTCAGATCTGCTCTAGCCGCACAGGTGTGTGTCGCTATAGGACACGAGAAAGCACAACGCGAGCCACCTGCCACCTTGCAAGGCAAAAAAGAGCGCGTTTATTTTCTGACTCCAACTTTTATACTTCTCCAAAGGTGACAGTGGATTGGAGAGTGAATGGGCCACCTCTCCGAAGACATTGGACAAAGCACTAGTACATCAAGTCTCTCCACCCCCATGGAGGAATGCAAAACAACACGTTATTTACAGAAACTGTGTGGGAAAGTTTCCCAATAGAATGTAAACTCAGAAGGCTTTAGAAAACTCAAGAATCAGGGCGACATCTCACCCTTTTTAGTTTAAAAGAAAAGGAAAAATGAATAAGGTTCAGTGTCTGTTCATGGAGGAATCATCAGAGTGATCACCCACCGTCATCTTCAACTGAGTCATCACTCGATGATCCATCCATTTGATGACTTTCAGTTTGGTCACGGCTTCTATGTTGCCCGTTTGTCGGATTCTGTCTCTGCGGTTGCAGATCAGGACGAACACACCTTGAAGGTACCCAGTGTACCCCAGTATCTGTGGATACACAAGCATACCCGCGCCCCGAAGCGATAAGGTCATAGGGACCTTCCCATTGTTTAGTGACTAAATTCCGCACTCGAACTTTTGCTCGAGGCTGATGTGCCTCGTCTGCAGCCTGCAATGAGAGATGATGATTTAAAATGACAGGGTTATTTGAATTCTGCTGCACTGTAAGATGATTGATGGTGTACAATGCTTTCTCCAACCGACTGTGTGGGGTCTCACCCTGCATTCCCCGTTTTTGTTTTTGAAGAACCCGCTTCAGAGTACCATGAGCGCGTTCTACAATAGCTTGGCCGGTTGGAGAATGGGGGATACCAAACTTGTGTGACACACCCCACAACTGCAGGAACTGCCGCACCTGCTGCGATGCATAAGCAGGATCATTGTCAGTTTTCACAGCAGAAGGTATGCCCAGAACGGCAAAGGCCTGCCTCCAGTGGGCAATGACATCACGAGCCTTTTCTCCAGTGTGAGCGGAAGCCCACATCGCAGAGGAGAACGTGTCCACCGTGACATGCACATACTTGAGCCGGCCAAACTCGGCAATCTGGGTGACATCAGTCTGCCAAAGCTCCAAGGCCCTAAGGCCTCTAGGGTTTACCCCTGCTGGTAAAGGCGGAGCAAGTGCATGGCAGTCGTCACAGGACTCAACAATGCCACGAGCCTCTGTTGG